CTCTCTCTCTCTCTCTCTCACACACACACACACACACACACACACACACACACACACACACACACACACACACAATCAGTTTTATGTATGTCTGTTTTTCCCCCTGTTGTCTATCCTCCCTCTGATCTTTTTCTAAGTATTTTTGTTGACCCAACTGAGCACCCTTAAGTAGTGCCAAACAGTCGGTGGTTCCTCGTTTGGAGTGCCAACTGCACTCTTAGGGGGGCGCTCGGTTCGGGATGTCTGTGTTGCCTGTCGGTGATGACGGATGGTTGTCGGAGTGTCTCCCTGGCTCAGCGGGTGGTGGGAACCAACAGTCTGCAGGGTTCACCCGTGATGTGAGTAGGTGATGTGCTGCTTTGCTCCGTGTTGGATGTGTGGAAGTCCTCGTCTGCGCTCCGCCGCTGCCCTGCTGCCTGTCCCGCTTGCTTCGCGTGCGGCTCTCTGCGAACTGTTGTGTTCGCTGTGTGGTGTGGCCGTGTTGCTGGTGTTGCCTTGCGCTTCGCTGCTTTGCTGCTGTGCTGCTCATCCGCTGGTTGTGCCTTCCGTGTTTGCTGCGTGTGTGCCATGTAGTTGGGTTGCCTTGTTGCCGGTGCCTTGTGCTCCGCTCCATGGTTGCCGAGCTGCTGGTCCGCTCGCCCTGTCGTTCCCAACAGCGCCGTTGCCTTGCTTGTGTTGTCTTGTACTTCACTGCACGGCTGCCGCGCTGCATTCCTTGCAGTCGCTTTTGGCGTTGTGCAGCCTTGTTGCCTCTTCTGTGTTGCCTGGTGCTTCACAGGGTTGCTGCTCCCTGCTGTGTTCCGTTTTGGACAGTCTGCCTTCAACAAGGGTCAAAGAATTCATGACCCAAACCATCAAATACGGAGATTCCGCAGATTGTCGAGGGTTCAGCCTCCTGATGAGTCGGTGCAATTCCGACGAAACAATCTTTCATCATCATTTTTTTTTTTTTCTTCGGTTTCTGTTATTTTTTGTGTACGTTTTTTGTAGTTTGGCTGGTTATTGTTTGCCTCGATGTCTTTTCCTTCTTTGGTTTGTGCTGTTTGTTTTCTGCTCGCCTTGTGTACTTTGTGATGTCTGGCGCTATGTGTGACGACCTTTCACGTCCAAGCTCAAAACTATTTCAGTGTTACCTTTGAACTGGTTTCACTAATGGTGTTCGTGATTATGTCACGTTGGGGATATCATATACATGTGTGTTTATACACAAATCTCTCTCTCTCTCTCTCTCTCTCTCTCTCTCTCTCTCTCTCTCTCTCTCTCTCTCTC